TGCCAGTGTGGGTGATTAGCTTGCTGTGGCGGCCAACTGTCGGAGGTTGTCATCTGCTCTAACTTCTATCTCTCCAAGACAATCGTCTGCTCTGACTGCTATCTGTCCAAGACAATCATCTGCTCTTACTACTATCTGTCCAAGACAACCATCTGCTCTAACTGCTATCTGCCCAAGACAATCATCTGCTCTAACTGTTATCTCTGTCCAAGACAATCATCTGCTGTAACTGCTATCTGCCCAAGACGATCATCTGCTCTAACTGCTATCTGTCCAAGACAATCATCTGCTCTAACTGTTATCTCTGTCCAAGACGATCATCTGCTCTAACTTATATCTGCCCAAGACAACCATCTGCTCTAACTGCTATCTGTCCAAGACAATCATCTGCTCTTACTACTATCTGTCCAAGACAATCATCTGCTCTAACTGCTATCTGTCCGAGACAATCTTCTGCTCTAACTGCTATCTGTCCGAGACAATCATCTGCTCTAACTGCTATCTGTCCGAGACAATCATCTGCTCTAACTGCTTCATATCCAAGATACATATCCAAGACAATCATCAGCTCTAACTGCTTCATATCCAAGACAACCATCTACTCTAACTGCTATATATCCAAGACAATTATCGACTCTAACTGCTTTATATCCAAGGCAATTATCTACTCTAACTGCTATATATCCAAGGCAATTATCTGTGTTATTTATGTTTTTCAGATGGCTGGGCAGATTAGGCCTGTCAGCTTACATCGACAACTTCCAACAGATGGGTTTCGACAACTTGTTCCAGCTAGACGAGTTTAGCCAAGAGGTGAGAGAAAGGAGTTTCCTTTGTTGCATTGATGTGTGTAGGATTTTTTTTTTTTTATGCACTTAAAAGTTTCTCATTTTTTGGCCCTAAAATCTGGAACTCCTTACAACAGAATCTCAGAGAAATAACAAATCCTAAAACATTTAGGATTGCTCAAGACTCATTTGTTTAATTCTTAGTTGTATTGTGTTAATATGTGCTGATATGGTTGGTTTTACTGCTGTCCTTGTATATAATTACTGTATGGTTGTGAACGTTATTCTGTATGCAGTTGAACTAGGTTGGGGTTTTTTTTTGGTTTCTGTGAACTATTTTACTCTCTTGTAACACTTCTAATCTTCAGCACTTACAGGGCCTAATTGTGTTGCAAGTGCTGTAAAACTCTTGCTTTTAAAAAACCCCAAACAAAACAAAAACCAATGATGTGTGGGTGTGTCCCCAGAGCCTGGAGAGAATGAACATTCCGGAGCTTCACCGGCGCCGTATCTGGAGCTCCCTCTTAGATTTCCACCAAGGACAGATGGCAGACATGACTCAGGCGCTGGAAAGATCTGGAACCACTGCAGACTCGCTCACCTCTCAGGTACAGCAGGGAGGGGGGGGATTCTCCAGTGGTACAACGGGCGGGGTTCTCCACTGG